GTACAGACTACAGCAGTACAGCCTACAGCAGTACAGACTACAGCAGTACAGACTACAGCAGTACAGACTACAGCAGTACAGACTACAGCAGTACAGACTACAGCAGTACAGCCTACAGCAGTACAGGCTACAGCAGTACAGGCTACAGCAGTACAGACTACAGCAGTACAGACTACAGCAGTACAGACTACAGCAGTACAGACTACAGCAGTACAGCCTACAGCAGTACAGACTACAGCAGTACAGGCTACAGCAGTACAGGCTACAGCAGTACAGACTACAGCAGTACAGACTACAGCAGTACAGGCTACAGCAGTACAGACTACAGCAGTACAGACTACAGCAGTACAGACTACAGCAGTACAGACTACAGCAGTACAGACTACAGCAGTACAGACTACAGCAGTACAGCCTACAGCAGTACAGACTACAGCAGTACAGACTACAGCAGTACAGCCTACAGCAGTACAGACTACAGCAGTACAGGCTACAGCAGTACAGACTACAGCAGTACAGACTACAGCAGTACAGACTACAGCAGTACAGACTACAGCAGTACAGCCTACAGCAGTACAGACTACAGCAGTACAGGCTACAGCAGTACAGACTACAGCAGTACAGGCTACAGCAGTACAGACTACAGCAGTACAGACTACAGCAGTACAGACTACAGCAGTACAGACTACAGCAGTACAGCCTACAGCAGTACAGCCTACAGCAGTACAGACTACAGCAGTACAGACTACAGCAGTACAGACTACAGCAGTACAGCCTACAGCAGTACAGACTACAGCAGTACAGACTACAGCAGTACAGCCTACAGCAGTACAGCCTACAGCAGTACAGCCTACAGCAGTACAGACTACAGCAGTACAGCCTACAGCAGTACAGACTACAGCAGTACAGCCTACAGCAGTACAGACTACAGCAGTACAGCCTACAGCAGTACAGACTACAGCAGTACAGACTACAGCAGTACAGCCTACAGCAGTACAGACTACAGCAGTACAGCCTACAGCAGTACAGACTACAGCAGTACAGCCTACAGCAGTACAGCCTACAGCAGTACAGACTACAGCAGTACAGCCTACAGCAGTACAGCCTACAGCAGTACAGCCTACAGCAGTACAGCCTACAGCAGTACAGACTACAGCAGTACAGACTACAGCAGTACAGACTACAGCAGTACAGACTACAGCAGTACAGACTACAGCAGTACAGGCTACAGCAGTACAGACTACAGCAGTACAGACTACAGCAGTACAGACTACAGCAGTACAGACTACAGCAGTACAGACTACAGCAGTACAGACTACAGCAGTACAGCCTACAGCAGTACAGGCTACAGCAGTACAGGCTACAGCAGTACAGACTACAGCAGTACAGACTACAGCAGTACAGACTACAGCAGTACAGACTACAGCAGTACAGCCTACAGCAGTACAGACTACAGCAGTACAGGCTACAGCAGTACAGGCTACAGCAGTACAGACTACAGCAGTACAGACTACAGCAGTACAGGCTACAGCAGTACAGACTACAGCAGTACAGACTACAGCAGTACAGACTACAGCAGTACAGACTAGAGCAGTACAGACTACAGCAGTACAGACTACAGCAGTACAGCCTACAGCAGTACAGACTACAGCAGTACAGACTACAGCAGTACAGCCTACAGCAGTACAGACTACAGCAGTACAGGCTACAGCAGTACAGACTACAGCAGTACAGACTACAGCAGTACAGACTACAGCAGTACAGACTACAGCAGTACAGCCTACAGCAGTACAGACTACAGCAGTACAGGCTACAGCAGTACAGACTACAGCAGTACAGGCTACAGCAGTACAGACTACAGCAGTACAGACTACAGCAGTACAGACTACAGCAGTACAGACTACAGCAGTACAGCCTACAGCAGTACAGCCTACAGCAGTACAGACTACAGCAGTACAGACTACAGCAGTACAGCCTACAGCAGTACAGACTACAGCAGTACAGACTACAGCAGTACAGCCTACAGCAGTACAGCCTACAGCAGTACAGCCTACAGCAGTACAGACTACAGCAGTACAGCCTACAGCAGTACAGACTACAGCAGTACAGCCTACAGCAGTACAGACTACAGCAGTACAGCCTACAGCAGTACAGACTACAGCAGTACAGACTACAGCAGTACAGCCTACAGCAGTACAGACTACAGCAGTACAGCCTACAGCAGTACAGACTACAGCAGTACAGCCTACAGCAGTACAGCCTACAGCAGTACAGACTACAGCAGTACAGCCTACAGCAGTACAGCCTACAGCAGTACAGCCTACAGCAGTACAGCCTACAGCAGTACAGCCTACAGCAGTACAGACTACAGCAGTACAGACTACAGCAGTACAGACTACAGCAGTACAGGCTACAGCAGTACAGACTACAGCAGTACAGACTACAGCAGTACAGACTACAGCAGTACAGACTACAGCAGTACAGCCTACAGCAGTACAGACTACAGCAGTACAGCCTACAGCAGTACAGACTACAGCAGTACAGGCTACAGCAGTACAGACTACAGCAGTACAGACTACAGCAGTACAGACTAAAGCAGTACAGCCTACAGCAGTACAGCCTACAGCAGTACAGCCTACAGCAGTACAGACTACAGCAGTACAGACTACAGCAGTACAGACTACAGCAGTACAGCCTACAGCAGTACAGCCTACAGCAGTACAGACTACAGCAGTACAGCCTACAGCAGTACAGACTACAGCAGTACAGACTACAGCAGTGCAGACTACAGCAGTACAGACTACAGCAGTACAGACTACAGCAGTACAGCCTACAGCAGTACAGACTACAGCAGTACAGACTACAGCAGTACAGCCTACAGCAGTACAGACTACAGCAGTACAGACTACAGCAGTACAGACTACAGCAGTACAGGCTACAGCAGTACAGGCTACAGCAGTACAGCCTACAGCAGTACAGGCTACAGCAGTACAGACTACAGCAGTACAGGCTACAGCAGTACAGCCTACAGCAGTACAGACTACAGCAGTACAGGCTACAGCAGTACAGACTACAGCAGTACAGCCTACAGCAGTACAGCCTACAGCAGTACAGACTACAGCAGTACAGCCTACAGCAGTACAGACTACAGCAGTACAGACTACAGCAGTACAGACTACAGCAGTACAGCCTACAGCAGTACAGCCTACAGCAGTACAGACTACAGCAGTACAGCCTACAGCAGTACAGACTACAGCAGTACAGACTACAGCAGTACAGACTACAGCAGTACAGGCTACAGCAGTACAGCCTACAGCAGTACAGACTACAGCAGTACAGACTACAGCAGTACAGACTACAGCAGTACAGACTACAGCAGTACAGCCTACAGCAGTACAGACTACAGCAGTACAGACTACAGCAGTACAGACTACAGCAGTACAGCCTACAGCAGTACAGACTACAGCAGTACAGACTACAGCAGTACAGACTACAGCAGTACAGGCTACAGCAGTACAGACTACAGCAGTACAGCCTACAGCAGTACAGGCTACAGCAGTACAGACTACAGCAGTACAGACTACAGCAGTACAGCCTACAGCAGTACAGACTACAGCAGTACAGGCTACAGCAGTACAGACTACAGCAGTACAGCCTACAGCAGTACAGCCTACAGCAGTACAGACTAGAGCAGTACAGACTACAGCAGTACAGACTACAGCAGTACAGACTACAGCAGTACAGACTACAGCAGTACAGACTACAGCAGTACAGCCTACAGCAGTACAGCCTACAGCAGTACAGACTACAGCAGTACAGCCTACAGCAGTACAGACTACAGCAGTACAGCCTACAGCAGTACAGACTACAGCAGTACAGGCTACAGCAGTACAGCCTACAGCAGTACAGCCTACAGCAGTACAGACTACAGCAGTACAGCCTACAGCAGTACAGACTACAGCAGTACAGACTACAGCAGTACAGACTACAGCAGTACAGACTACAGCAGTACAGACTACAGCAGTACAGCCTACAGCAGTACAGACTACAGCAGTACAGCCTACAGCAGTACAGTCTACAGCAGTACAGACTACAGCAGTACAGACTACAGCAGTACAGACTACAGCAGTACAGACTACAGCAGTACAGACTACAGCAGTACAGCCTACAGCAGTACAGGCTACAGCAGTACAGCCTACAGGCCGAACATTTGATTTGGCCGAAATGTGTTTTGGCCCTGGGAGGCCGAAATTTGAATGGGCCGAAAATGTGTCGACTTACAGTATCAATGACGATTGCAAGTTGCAAAGACCACAAATCACGTAGAACCTCTAAATCCAGAGGTCGAAATGCACACCTTTTTTCGGTACTTTGATCTTGTGTCGTCTCACTAGCTCCTATGAGTCCCTAGTTGCTACGACTCCCTGCATGGAATGACTCACTAGCTGCTATGACTCCCTGGTTATGACTGACCTGTTCAAACAGTCATCTCCACACCCAGGTTGCGATATATCAGTTGGTAACTGACAACTGCACACAGGATGGTCTTTGCTCTGACTAGGAGCTGACTCCAATGATGAGTAATCATCTGTAGAGGATGACACCATAGCATCAATATTTTATCAGTACACAACATGAATGTATGACATCATAGCATCAAGATGACAGTAGCATTTCAGTACACAACATGAAGATATGACATTGTAAAACAAACATGAACCAGTGCAGAACAGGGAAGCATGCCATCACAGTCACATATTTACCAACAAAATCGGCATCAATCCTCCCGGCTTGCTTAACCCGTTGTGACCCCATCGACCGATATCGATCGATTGGTATAAAGTGGCACTAAATAAATTATATCTCTGGTGTTCCTTCACCGACTTTCATAAGCATCTACGTTTCGAGAGGAACCTTGGCTATCACGTCGAAGTTACCAGAAATCTCTAGGAGGTAGGATGCCGCCGTGGTGAGACTCGAAGTCAGAGGAAAACCTTCACTCCGATCGAAAATTTCAAAATTTTACGCTGCACTTGGCGGGGGATTTCCCCGGAATGCTACGCGACACTCAAACATGCCGCACACCAAAATGATGCGCTTGAAACAAGCTTTCCGCTGTGGTCTGTTTGAAGTTGATGTGATGAAGGAGAATGGAATGGCGGCTGTTCGAACTTTGCTGGAGCTGTTCGCGCACGGCTGCTGTTTTGAGCGGCGTTCTAGGCCACGCAGAGCAGAGGCCGTGCAGGTAGCTGGCTCGAGTGTGGTATTATTCGCTTCGTCTTGGAAATACCTTTCCAGGGGTGGCGAGTTTGTAAAAATCGGTGAATGTTTGGTAGAGATACAAGCGAAAGTGCAGGGGTGCAGGGTAGGGTGAATGGGGAGGACATGGGCTGGGGTAGGGTGAAATGTGATAGTGGGGGGGGGGGGGGGGGGTGCATGGGAGGGGTCTGGTTCAATGTTGGTGCGTCTTTCAACATGGCTATTGATATCTTCAACTCTACATGCAGAGGCGTCACAGGGCGGTTTGGAGTGGTACGACGGGGGGGTGTCCCCCGGAGAAAAAATTCGGATTTTTCGGCCAACAGGGCACGTTTTAGCACTCTACAGCCGCAAAGGAGGGGTCCCCTATACGGATATAGCACTTGTTAGACAACCCCACTCCAGCTCAAAAAAACGCTTCTCATGAACATTTTTGGTATTTTCTGTACATCATCATAGGTGGCCAAGGCAAAGAGGAAGATATTGCCCTCGAAAAATCGCAAAATCGGAAGTACAGTTATAGCGCCAGCCGCTGTGCAAAAACGTATGTCAATTGTCATGTCCTGCGAAAGTGCACCGCGCGCGCCACATGCACTACATGTATGTACACGGCCGGCCGGCCGGCGGACAGTCGCGAAGTAATGTTAGTTCCTTTTAGAGAGAGAAGAATATCCTTTTTTTGTTCGTTGGGACTGAAAGATCTGCCAGTGAACCGGAGAGCTACAACACTGGAAGCAGAAGAAAGGGCTTGCGGAATCTGTTTTCGTGGCAACAGGACTTTAGTTTGCGAGAGATTTTCGTCCTGTCGTCACGGACGCAATTCTTGTTGCTGCTACCAGAAAATTCGGAGAACGAAACGATCGTATGTCGTTTGGTGAAGCGGGTCGTGTCGATGAACAGCTGCAGAATGTTCTGCCCCCGTAGAGCAGCAGAATGTTCTGCCGCCGTAGAGCAGCAGTCCAAACACTTTTCAACTTCGGAGGATGAAGCGCTTTCCTAATTCGTTGACAAGCGCGGCGTTCGCGGGTGTAGATGTAATGCATTTTCGCATCAGCTTGCAGTAGATCGTCAGGACCCAGAGGTACTTACTACTACTACTACTAGGTAGGTGTCGTTGTGGAAAGAATATGTTGTTGTAGCTGACAAGTGACATGCTTGTAGTGTCTCTTGACTGTGCTGATCGCCATTGTAACATGGTAGATCTTGGAAAATTTTAGTTCTGGTCCCAGTGATCGCCGCCAGCACTGTTTCCGTCAAGTTTGCAGTGAATGCGTCCGTGAGGAATCCATCATCTGGTTGTCTCTACCCGTGACTCCAACCGCCTATCGCAATGAATAGCCGCCTGGAGTCTTGGGGTGCTAGCTGCTAGGCATCAAGTCTGATAATTGTATGCTCCTTGCAATGAAAGTTGGGATGTTTTGTACAAGTCCGAAGATCCTTGAATTTTTTTATTGCTTTTTTGGATGAATTGGGTGGACCATCCTGGACGAAAAGTGGTACGACCATGGTCGTAGTGGTCGTACCGTGTGTGACGCCCCTGACATGTATTATCCAATCAGAGAAAGTCTCCACCACACATACTGCTGATGTACACAGTTCAGGGCGGTCTATTTCAGGAGAAGTACACAGAACAACACAGTGCTGACAACACAGTGCTGACAACACAGTGCTGACAACACAGTGCTGACAACACAGTGCTGACAACACAGTGCTGACAACACAGTGCTGACAACACAGTGCTGACAACACAGTGCTGACAACACAGTGCTGACAACACAGTGCTGACAACACAGTGCTGACAACACAGTGCTGACAACACAGTGCTGACAACACAGTGCTGACAACACAGTGCTGACAACACAGTGCTGACAACACAGTGCTGACAACACAGTGCTGACAACACAGTGCTGACAACACAGTGCTGACAACACAGTGCTGACAACACAGTGCTGACAACACAGTGCTGACAACACAGTGCTGACAACACAGTGCTGACAACACAGTGCTGACAACACAGTGCTGACAACACAGTGCTGACAACACAGTGCTGACAACACAGTGCTGACAACACAGTGCTGACAACACAGTGCTGACAACACAGTGCTGACAACACAGTGCTGACAACACAGTGCTGACAACACAGTGCTGAACCAGTAAAACAGCAAACATAATCATGGTCAGTCTGGTGGGGACTTATTCTTACTTGTACGTATTTTCTTGAACTTTGATGCAATTACCGGCTTG